TATGATCTGGTTGAACTGGAAAGTGCCTTGAGATGACATGTGTTGTGAATTGGCGCTATAGAAATAAACTGAAATTTAGGTACACAGAGACACATAGAAGAGCACAAATAAATCCAATAGAAAGAAGCATCCTGGTGGTTTTTACTCTGTCCAGTAATGCTTAGTACCCCTGACCCATATCTTCCAGTATCTGGAATTTTGTGATGACATCCTGGTTCTGGAGGACGGTGAGGTCAGAGAGGCCGGGAATCACCAGGCACTGATGAAAACCAACGGACGCTACGCTCAGCTCATCAACAACTACCAGATGGAACAGTCCAAAGTAAAAGCATCACATGTTTTTATGAACTGAAAATATTTCCTCTTCACTTAGGATTTATTGTTTTACAACTTTGGAGCAATAAAAATAAAAAGCAGCTGTAACTAGCAGGTTCTTTGTTCTTCTCAATCCCAGATGGAGAAAGAGGAGGAGGAGGAGGCGTCACCCAAACAGGCTGCTGAGCTGAATGATGTCAGACAGCGAGCTGACAGTGGGATAGTTAACCCCGGTAGGATAACAAAGGATATAGTTTTCAAGCAGATGTTGGTAAAATATAAATAAAAATACTCATTCATAATAAATTGAAGGAAAAAGCTATTTGGTTCAGTCAATAATTAGAGAAACTGATAAAATAAATTCATGTTGTTGCTTTTGAATATAAACAGAGCAAATACTACAGTAGACTATGGATAAGAAAAGGAATATCCGTCAGTATTTACATACCAATGTCATATTTCTGTTTACAGTCGTATGTATTTTAAAAAGCAGCAACATTAAACTAGGTTTTATTGCAGCTGCAGTTGTGCTTAAAGAAATAACATGTTTGCCTCTCTTTAGCGTTTGACATGTCAGATGAAAACGATGACGGGACGCCAGCGGATCAGAACAGTAAGTCAAACAGAAATCAGTCGATTCTGATGTCGACCAAACAGTTTGTTTGGCATCCAGACTGCCAGTCTTATTGAATGTAATTCCGATTTACCCATTTTAGCCATTGCTGACTGGGATCTTAACCCTATAATGCCAAATGTATCGTATTTGATACATACGGTTTCTGAAATGTTTTGCGTCTGA